GCATCTTCTTCATTAATAACCAGTTTCTGAGTACTGACCCTTAGTGACCTTGGGAAAAATTCTCGCCCTATGCTTCACTCGCTGCCCTTGGTGATGTCTTTCAGACCGGGTTGTTATCACTCAGTCAGCCTATTTCAACTTATTTTTGCATATGCTATTCCCTGAGAAAACCACGTTTGTTAGTGTAAAGATAGATGACATAAATAAACCTTTGATCAAAGAAATGGCAAAGAAATAAACCACAGCTTCATTTTAACACTACCAATGTGTTGGCAAAACCAGCACCATTTCCTTCTTTTGGTCAGCTTATACTGTTGTAAGACAGAGATCAGCCCAATACTTACAAAATAGCTGTAAAATTCTGATTCCGGTGCTGAAACTTTCTCATACAGTCCGGTGCAAATGCGAGTGATTGCTGCCCATGTAAAGTAGGAGCAGAGGATGTTGCTCTTATCTGATTATAAAATTTCTGGTACTAGAACGTTCTTAAATCTCTTCTACAAAGATAATATTTTTCACTTAAAAAATGTTTTCCATGCTTGCACAGGATAAGTAGAGTGAGTGCAGAAGTTCAAATTGAATATTTATGTTTCTGGATAAGTAAGTTTCTGGTGGTTATATTTGGATTACATTGATTCAGTCAGACACACATGCTCCACATTCATCATTTTGAAAAAAATAAACAAAATATACACAGCAGGCACACCTACAGAATGTTAAATGACAGCTCCTGTTCTTTGTAGGAATTGTATCCTGGGGTGGATATCAATGGCATTCATGTTAAAGGTGACAGAAAAGATGAAAGACATTGGTCTTGTAAGTTAAGAGACACTGACTTATAATCTTTTTAGAGAGCTGCTGTAGGGAAGAGAAATCTCTTCCCAGCCACATCTCTTCTGTCAAGTTTCCTCACCCCTTTGAAAAAGCAGCTTTCTCTTCCTCTTGGATGGAAGTATCTCAAGCCCATGTTGCCCATTTTGCCTGGAAGGTTGAGCCCACAGTTGGATCTGAAAGACAATAGACCGAGTTATATCCTCTGACCTAGTCACAGAAGCCTAATGGGGCCATCTAGGAGCAAGTCCCCTCTGCCCTTTCTCTCAGCATCACCTGCAGAACTTGTCTCATGAAGTGCTGTTTATTAATCTCCCCGAAGCAGTTATCTCAAAAGTAGATTCTATGCTGTGTTCATATGTTCATATGACCAGCACAGTGTCTGGCACATTGTCTTGTTCACTAACTGATGGTTGAATTTCAGAGAGAGAGAGAGAGAGGTCTAAGATTTATTATTAGCAGCAGCTGCTTAGGCACCATCTTACATTTATGCCAGAATACTCAGAGACTGTCCAAAGTGATCCATAGTTCCCTGTCGGAGTAACAATTTCTCATCTGGGGGTGACAATGATGACATATGCCTCAGGAGTTGTGTAAGGACCAAGTGAGGAATATAGTTCCAAGCAACTCAGTTAGATCCATGGTGGAGGGAGGAACCAGAAGTAGGACAAGTCACACCTGGGACTGTTTCCCCTCCACCACTATTACTGGTGGAAAATTTTGGAAACCTGTGCTTCTCTGAACCTCTTCCCAATGAGCAATGAGACCAGCAGGACGGGTTCTGCCTTCCTCATGGAGTCATTTGCAATAACAGGGAGATAATGAAAAAGATAAAGGGTCCTACAAATGTAAGAAATTTAGTATTAGCGGAAAGACCCGTGGTCTGAGATTTCTAAAACCTGCCTTTGACAAAACTGTTAGCTCTGCAATTGCAGCTCACTGGGATGTAATTTCTTATTGTATAAAGTGAAAAGACTTCAGTTAGTGTATTTTTATGCTTTTCCTGCTATTAGTGATGGGTTTGTAGAAATTCTCTTAATGTAACGCAGTATTAAAAGAATCAATATGTGTAATTTTAGACCCGATGAATACTAAGAAATCTTACACTAAAACTTTTGTTCCTCTTCTGAATACACTCTGACTTCACAAAACTCATTCCACTTTCCTGAATCTAAAGAATTTAGTGGCACTTCTGAATGCTCCAGGGTCTTATCAGCTGTTCTCACCTCAGTGCTAATGGGTTCAGCTCCCTTCCTTATCCATTTTGGTAAGATGGGAAGGGGTGGGATGACTAGGCTATTTACGCTTTTATTTAGGTTTGTCCCATATATCAGCATACTAATCTAGTGTATAGATTAATAAGAAGAAAATTCTATCCTTAGGACAAGAAGTTCTAGACTCTGAAACCATGGCAACTAACTTTAGGCTCATTGTTTTATAAATGTCACACCTATAATTCAGCTCTCTCATTTCCATTTGGGAAACTGAGGTCCAGAGAAGCAACTTACAGAGGTCACGGTGATCTGAGTAAAGAAAGTCCAAAGTTTCAACAAGTCGCAGGCCATAGCCTTGGTTAGCCTATGGGGAGTTAAATCACTAAGAAAATGAATTCTGGCCCTTGCCCCCAGTACAGTGTCATTGTGAAATAGGCCGTTTTCATTTCTTGCTACTCCACAAATAGAGCCAGAAGTGTGCAGCCTTTAACACTTTTAACTTGGAGGTCGAATTGAGTAGAACTTGAGTTGTTTAGGTCATTCTTCTGGTCCTGGCTGACTTTATTGAGGAATTATTCTGTGTTGGCCATTGTGCTAAGTACTTTACGTGGCTTATCTCATCTCATCTTCCAATAAGGAAGGCTACAAACTATGAGGAACAGCATTTTGGAGGCAAGGAAAACAATGGTAAGAGAGATTAAGTAATTTTCCTACACCATGCAGCTAGGGCACAGTAAATCTGAGATGAATTCAATCAGTCTGATTTATAACTCTTCACACTTGACATGTAGTAGAAAGAACTAGGAGATGTTCCCGCCAGTAACTGTTGTAAGTACTCCAAAGTCACCTAGGCGCAAGGATTTGCTGGATAAAGTGTTATCTTCACAACATCTTGCACATAGCAGCACCTCAATACATACCTGTTATGTTCAATCTAATTTTTTGAGAAAAACAGCATTGGACCAGAGCCAAAAAAATCCAGAAGGTACAGGTTCTAGTCCTGATTTGGTTTTGTTGTTGTTTGGCTTTTGGAGTTTTTGTTTTGTTTTTTGTTTTTTTGGTTCAGAGCCTCACACTTGCTAGGCAGGCACTCTACTACTTCCCCAGCCCTCTAGTTCTGATTTTAATGTGATTCACTGTGAACAGTAGACAAGTCAGTTATCTATGTGAGCGTAGTTTCCCAACATCAGCGAGTTCAGAAGTATCAGGATTCTGCTTTTGTGTGTCCCCCACGGGGCCCACAGTTGGAGGACCCGCTGGGCATTGAAACTGTCTAGCTGATGGCCTGGCATTGGCAGGCTCCGGAATACATCTAGACCAGGCCCTTGAGTGGAAAGGAGTTGCTGGGAGTTTGGAGCAACATTGCTATGTCTTTTGTATGGTCCTTCACTGACAAAAATTGTGATAGGTTCTTCGCCGGGCACACTAGTGCTCTGAGCAGCTACTAAAGGTAGGTGAGTGAGAGTTGTATCAGTAAGACTCTGGGCCTCCTAGGAAGGAAGACTCCTTACTCTCCAGGAGACTCTCAGAGCACAGAAGCCCACAGGATCCAGTGACTATGAAGGAGTAACAACCACCTCAGTCAGATGTCCAGAGTGACCAGGACAGAAAGAGTGAAAGAAACAAGGCATGGGAGTGGCACAGTCCAATTTAAAACAGTTTCAGGGTCACCCTGTGCAGCAGAGCTAAGGTCCTGCAGTCTACATAGTCTCGCATATGGCAGAACTGGAACCTCAGGTTCTCGGCTGTTAGCCATCAGCACTGACCTCTCCTGGATTCTCCTTCTTGCCCTTATTATCATTCCCACATGCCCCTACTCACCCAGTAAAACAAGGAATACAAGTTGAAAACCCAAAAGAGGTGCTGTGGCTCCAAGGGATCCCACTACTATTCTAGAGCTCCCCATTTCAGTCCTACTGTTGGCAGCTTCCTTACTTCTGATAAGAAAACTTCTTAGCCTTACTTGATTACAGAAGTACTTCAAGTTTCGGATAAGTCTCTTGTGTTAGAGTCCTACATCAAAAATGCTCTGAAAACAGGCCTCTGTGTAAGTTTGCGGCAAAGTAATTTGGTGGTCCAACCTGATCAAATGTGACAGGATGCTTGCTGTTCACAGTCTTTACACACCTCACTTACTGGCCACATTCAGATACTTGAGAGTAAGAAAAAATTCATGTGTTTGGTGGCAGAGTCTCAGCAGACCCACTGCAGGTCATGTGCCAGTTGATGGAAGAGGCGTATCTCTAAAATTGGGAAAATTCTGAATTCCAGAGCCAGCCAGATACAGGGAGAGAAAAGAAATTGTGGCCCCACAAATTATGTTCCTTAAACTTGGGGGTGTTTATTTATCCTTGAAGGAATAATTCATTGATTGTTCTTGCATAAGCTCTTTTAATACAAGCAGATCTTTTGGAGGACAGAAGTCTGGATCTGTTTTTTCCTGAAATTAAAACAAAAATGGTACATTTCACTATGGAACTGCATCTTCCTTCCCCCTTTGCAGTTAGCTGCTGGTTAAAATGTGCGAGTGATTCACGGAGCCATGGTGCCACCTATCCTCCCGATGTGGAATTGCATGTTTATTCTGCCCTCTGCCAACTGACTTGCAGGCTTACACCTTTCAGTCCTCTAGACTTGGCATAGAAGCTGTTCCTTGACACTAAGATCATAAAGGCAGAGCTGCAAAAAGGGCAAGAAATATGTTTTCTTCTCCTTGGTCCCTGAGCACTTAAACTAGGAACCTAAGCTGATGTTAGGAAGTGTGAGCCATAAACTTTGTGTTTAATTAGTTTGCACCCTATGAGTCATTTTACACACTGGACATTTTAATTTACAACCTGCTGCATTGCAGTACTTTTCTAGGGTTTTTACTATGTAATAAGGTTTCTCTTAGCTGCAGAGACTTTAAAAATGTAGGTAACTCTTAGTTGAGATTTTTTTCTTTTCAATTTTCAGTTACAAATCAAGCATGCAGTTACAGAAGCAGAGATTCAAAAATTGAAGACAAAGGTAAGCACCAATACATGGTACTTGAATTGTACTCTCTAAGCCTCAAAACTAAAGGGTTTGTTCCTGTGCATTTGAAAGAATAAGAATGGGAAAGATTCATTTCCCCTGGTAGGTGCAGAGACAAACATATTTGCATATCTCTCAGTGAAAATAACATGATATTTGATATTTTTAATCTATATTTATGTATTTGCACATATGTGGCCAATTCCCCTTAGAGTTCTTAATAAAATAGCATTTTTTAATGAGTTAGGCATCTGAAGTATGTTTTAATCACTAATTCCATGAGTATCGGCTGACATATCGTATCTCCATTTCTTTTACTTTATTATAAATAGATCTAACCATTTATTCATTGTTAGCTTATCCACCAGAAACATTGTCTTAAGTATAGCCCATTACTTTTGATAAAAAATAATTTCTAAGAATTAAATTACTTAAAAATAATTATAAATAATTACAGACTTACTCCTAGAAATAATTATAAGCATGTTATAAATTTAATATAATACATTGCATTATTCATTTTTGGCACAAAGTATTACTAAAAAAAATTTTTTTTGATGGTACTAGGGTTTGAATTTAGAACATTGCCCTTGCCAGGCAGGTACTCTAAATGCTTGAGCCACACCCCCCAGCCTCAAATTTTTAAATAACTTTAGTTTGCATTATTTAAATTCATGGGGAAGAAAGTCTTGATTAAAGGGATTGTGTATTAGTCTCTGTGTGTGTATGTATATATATAATTCAATATTGTATGAGATATTTCAATTGTGTTTAGTTGTAGCAAAAACTTAATTTCCAAGATTTAAAAGTATCTTTCGAATTACTTTAAAACAGTATTTTTATTGCTTCTATAATCTTTTTTAAATTAAGACATAATTGTTCTCCCACCACTAATTACCTGTTCTCTTATTCACATTGAACACTTGCTTTGGTTTTTGCCCGGGTTTTACATGGAGCTGAATTAGCAAGGCTATTTTGGTTAAATGGTAATCTCAGCTAATCTGCTCTGGAGCTCTTTGGTGAAAACATATCTGTACCTCATTCATGATGTCAGCCTAGCACTGTGAATAGTAATTCTTAAATTAGTAGGTGATTGGTAAATAAGCAACTTGTCACAAAATGTTGCTTAATAAAAGATGCAGTTTTTTAAAAAAAAAAACTAGTCCTGTTTTAAATTGAAATTGTTTCTTGACAAAGGTTTTCCCGTGATTTAAATACTTTAATGGAGCTTAGGTGTTAGACTATAAATATTTCATGTAGAAAACACCATAAATTAGTATTTTTCTTATTTCTAATTTTGAAGTCGTTTTGGCTGTTTTTTTATTTGTAATCTGTTTGACAAATGTATTTAGTTTAAATTTTACATAAAAATGCAACTATGTATATATATTTATGTGAATATATATTTTTGCATTTGCTGAATGCAGTCTGATTTTGGAATATCTTGCTTTTGAACATTGAGCTATAATGACTTGCATCTTTTTAGACTTTAAAGAAGACAGGAAGTAGATAAAGTGCTAGATTGAAAAACAGATAGTTGTGAATAAGTGACTCACCTAAGTGGTCAATCTTCAATTTCTGTAAAAATGAGAGTGTTCGACTAGTATGGCTTCAATTATAAGGGAACGTGGAAGCAGAAACTACAAACAGCCTTTCTGTTCCATTAGAGTTTTTACTTAATCAACAAGCATTTATATTTTTACTTACAATTATCTCTTTTACACTTTTATGTGAATTGAACTTTATGAAGATCTAGAAATTCATCATGCTGCCTATAATATAATGAGCTACAGATTATGTTCGTATAAATTGAAATAAAGGGCCTAATATCATCAAGAGGGTGAAAAGCAAAGTAATAATAGCTAACAGTTGTCAAAAGATTATTATGCTCACAGAGATATTCTAAGCACACTGGTGTGTTATATCACAATTCTGTTAAATAGGAGATACGGCTTGGAGAATTTCAATTACCTGCCCACGCTTTCAGGGTCAATGATGGCAGAAGTGGGATTCAAATCTAAGCTGATTGACTCCAAAGTCCCCTTCTTAACATTACACCAAATTGCGATTCTACACCTCTCATCTGACCTCTCCCCCACTCCCTTTTAAGTTAATTTTTTCTTATCACCTTACATTAAAAAAAAATCTATCAAAGAAAATCTGCTGACATTCATAGACATAGGCAGTCAAACTCTAAAATATCTTTTCCTGCTTACAGATTTTCAAACCACATGATGTAAAGGAAAGTTTGTGGGAGTTGGAATCAAATCCATGTTTTTATCGTTTATCAAACATGTGGCCTTAGGCAAATCATTTCACTTTTCAAGACTTCCGTTTATCCTGTATGGGACTATGGAAATAATAATTGCTTTTCTTATCTCAAGGTGTCTTGATGATTATGTGTGACAATGGGATTTAATCCAAAGCATGCTATAAAGATGTGAGAGATTTTTGCTACAGACCTACCCAAGTTCTTCTTGCCTTTCTTTAGCTGCAAGCAGCAGAAAATGAGAAAGTAAGGTGGGAGCTAGAAAAAACCCAACTCCAACAGAACATAGAAGAGAATAAAGAAAGAATGCTGAAGTTGGAAAGCTACTGGATTGAGGCTCAAACATTATGCCACACAGTGAATGAGCACCTCAAAGAGACTCAGAGCCAGTACCAGGCCTTGGAAAAGAAATACAACAAAGCAAAGAAACTGATCAAGGATTTTCAGCAAAAGTAAGCAGTGTCTAATGACTAAAGAATAGTTATTCAGATCTAAAGAAGACTTATATTCAGTAACTTGGTAATACCTAATGGAAAGGAAAAGATGATCTCAGGATTTTCTCTTTCAGAAACATAGTCATTTGGACATAAGTTTTGGACATAGTCATTGTATTTTAGAAATTACTTCTATGAAGTTATTTTTTTTTAATAGGAGAGTATGGTTTGTGTGCAGCCGTTTGCCTCCTAGTGTTTTTGATTACCATTGATAGTAACTGTTAATACATTCAGTTTCTTTGTTCTGGAAACGCCTCTGTGATTTAGAAGCACAAAGCCCAGCTGAAGTGGTGCAGAAAAGACTGACTTGGATATTGTGCATGTGAAGCAGCAGTCGGGGCCTTGGCCAGGCTGCTTCTATCTGTGTTCTTAGAACCAGTCATTGCGGAAATCTCCTACTACAGACAGTGTTAATATTGACTGGCGGGTTCCCCACCCTGCCCAGCCACCTTTCTTAACTGTTGAGGGATCACCAGGGTCCCTGTTAGCTACAATGGGAGAGGCCATGCTGCACTCTGCTGTTGCCTTTCAGTAGTTCTCTTCTGAGCTATAGCTGCTTTGCTTCCATCTCCTGGATGGTGATGTCATGTGAGGGGGATGATAGGGATGATTTCTTCTAGAGTTTTTTATTAGTTTTTCTGGCTAGCTTGAATGAAAATGTAGTGCCGGTACCTTTTCTGGTCTTCCATGCTAAGTCTGCGAAGCTCAGTACATGTGTCAGATTCACCACATCTCTATTTCTTATCATGGAAATAATATTTTTAATATTTAGGAGAGATTGCTATAAGACATATAAGGCATAATGCTCTTTGTTGCTGTGAATTCAGCACGTCAGTATCTTTTTTGTCAATAATACCAGATCTAAGTCTCTTCCATGTAATAATTTTATAATAAAATTCACCAAATTTGTGTATTCTGTTCTAGGCTCTCAGAATGGAGGTATTTCTCCTTCTCCCGATATCATCTTTAGGTGTGTGAGTGAGGGCTTCCCTCCATGCTTCTGACCTACCCAGTCCCCTCCCGCGACATCCATAGAAAGAAAGTTATTATGGTTATCTTTTTTCAACTCTTAGCATCAGTTCCTTCAGTTTACTTATATATATATGACATCGGAAATACGAACCATTCCTACCTGACATGTAATTACCTCCACTAAGTTACCCAAGGTGGGTCATTAGCACAGTAGCTACTACCTAATGGGTACCCTAGAATCAGGAGCTATGAATGAAACTCATAAGCAGAATCAAAACAGTTTCCTCTATTTTGTGACCCATTAAAGATGTTTTATTTTCTTTCATTACCACAGCTTTTTCTTTAGCTATGTTTCAGTTTTATTTATTTAAGTAACTGTCTACTTGTTCATCCCACTCTGCAGTATGACTTCAGATAAGAACATTCACATTTGTTACAATCAAATCTTTTATTTTTCTTTTTTAAGAGAGCTAGATTTCATCAAAAGACAGGAAGTAGAAAGGAAGAAAATAGAAGATTTGGAAAAAGCTCATCTTGTGGAAGTTCAGCGTCTACAAGTGCAGGTGAGTCGTGTTCTCAAACATGCAAAGTAGTGAGATCGTTTGGCCTGGTACTGGGAGAGGAGTGCTGGATTAGTTTCTGAATGAATGGGTTTTGTTTTTCTAGATTAGAGACTTGGAAGCTGAAGTGTTCAGACTACTGAAGCAAAACGGGACTCAAGTCAACAATAACAACAACATCTTTGAGAGAAGAACATCTCTCAGTGAAGTCTCAAAAACAGACACCATGGAGAATGTGGATGTCAAGCAAACATCATGTCAGGATGGCCTAAGCCAAGGTTTGTTTAACCCAACCTCAAAAAGATCATTTTTAATGACTATGTCATTTGGACTTTTTTCTTTTTCTGACCCAGATTCAAATGCTAAAAATGCTTTTCTACTCTGGGAAAGAAGAAAAGTCTCATAAAAATGGGAGTCTCTCATCTTAGCTTTTACTTTATTAAAAATAAATGCTTTAGGACTTTTGGAGTTGCTCAAGTGGTAGAGTGTCTGCCTAGCAAGCACGAGGCCCTGAGTTCAAACCTCAGTCCTGCCTTCCTCAAAATAAATGAATAAATAAAAACTTTAATGTAAAACAGTGAACGAAATCCCAACTAAAGACAAACCAAGTATTATTTTTAAACCATTAGAAAACTGCTGTACTTTATAAATTGCCTTAAAAACGGTATCTCATCTAGGATGAGCCTCACTGTTTATATGTATTAATGAATTAAGACTTAGAATGTCTCAGTCCTTAGAAGAGAGATTCTGTTCTTGACATCTTGTCAAGGAGGCCAACTACCTGTTTCTGTCACATGGAACTCATTTAGTTAAAAGTTCCATTCAGTTTTGTTGTGCTTTTACCTTGGTGTCCTGTGTGTGCTCCTCACATCTTCCCCGTCCAAGACCAAATAAAACCAAACACTGGATTGAATACAACAACTGTAAATAAGTCACTTATTTTCTCACACACACACATGTTGCCCTGCACAGACTGTGTGTATATGAAGGTGAATTAGTGTTTTAACATTTGTGGCACATTCATAAATTAGAAAATATGTAAGAATTCATAAAGATAAATATGCAGAAGATAGGAAACTTGGTTTCACTTTCTTTGGAAAGTGAAAAAGAATAGTGCTCGGCAGGATTGTGCTTCATCAGCGACTCACGGGCAGCAATTTGTCATGTAGGAAAACCCTGTTAATAATGAGCTCTTTCATTTTTTGATGCTCTTTCTCACTTACTAAAATGTCTCCAGTGAGACTTTCCTGATAAACAAGTGTTTATATCCTAGTTTTAGAACTAACCTCTTACCATTAACAATGAAAAGTGTTGGAAATGTTCATTTAAAATGAAACTGATATCTAGAGATTTGAATCCAGTCATTAGGTTTATGTCTTTCTGGTGGGTTTTCCCTAAATAGGATATAATTTATAAATAACAAAGCATATAGATATGCCTATATTAAATAATAGCGGCCTCTCAGGCAGCTCAATGAGGAGGATTTAGCACCAGCATTAAAACTAAAAGAGAAGCTGTGTGACTTCGGTAAGATCATTCACCTTCTCTGAGTTGGCTTTACCATGTATAATATAAAAATAGTGATAATTCATTCTTCTGTGCCTTACTGGCATATTTTTGAGGCTATATGACTTAGTCTGTGAGGCCAAAAAAAAAAAAGTAGTTTTATGAGAACTTATGGAATTACAGTTTTTATACCTGGAGCACTGTATGATTGGTATCTTAAAAAAAAATCAGAAACCAAACTACTGTGGGTTTTTTACCCTTTGAATGTTTTAACTTTAAAGTTAATTGTAGTTTATTTTAAATACATGTTCTCACCGTGATGTGCACAGCATATGCTCAGTAACCCATAACTTTTCATTACTATTCATTTCTTCCCATTTAGAAATCTGTATTTTGTCAAACCTGTAATTAATAATATTTATTAAATTATGTGACTGCCGAAGATCAACAAACTATACTATTAACATGCTGATTTGGATCAAAACCTTGCGTTTCTTTTGAACCCTTTTCCTATTCCACACCCCCATTCTGCCACATCATTATCTGTTTCCCTAGCAACACTGAGGGCTCACAGTGAGGCGCAGAGGCTAATTCTTAATGAAACCCATCCATGCTTTGCACTAGAGGTGGAATCTGTCATCCCAGACTTTAGTAGCACACATATTAGGTGCTGCTGAGAACAGTCAGTGATAGATCTCCTTGAATTTCAATTGCTTGATCACTAAACTAAAATGGTTTGGTCAGTAGCTAGATAGAATGCTCTGGAAAGCACTTTTCTAAATTGATCCTTTGCTTCTGTTGCTAGGGAACACTGAAGTACTACAGGTTTTGAAAGGAGAGGAAGGCTGCAGACCTAACAGGCCATTCAGTATTAAAAGGTGCCTTGTCACTCTATGTAACTGCAAGGTACAGGACTTGCAGTAAGTTCCCCAGACTGGTACCTGTTAGGCTCAGTGCCATCTACCTCACCTCTGGGGACCGTCCAGTTCTCATCTGCTTTCTGAGCTCTAGAGTGTTAAGACAGGGTGGGTAGCAAGTTTGGGGCCTCAAGGCAGCTCATGAACCAAAAGGATTGTCAATGACAGGTCAACAAAACTATGTCAGAATAAAGAGAAGAGGGAAGAAGGAGAGGAGGAAGAAAGGTAAGGGGAGAAAGGAGGAAGGCTTAGCATCCATTCATCATGTATATTCTTACCTTCTAGAACAGAGCTTCCTGACTAGAACTGGATAATAGCGTGACTCTTAATATTGAATTATTGCACATTTTTGAGTAATGAAACAATTTCCAAACCATACAAAAATTTGCAGTTAACATTAGCTTTGAACACTATCATATGGCTCTCTATCTAAACTAAGCCAGTACAAGTATTTCACTAAAATTTTGATAAGGATTACACATACAAATTCATCATTTAATATTGCTAACACTTTATTCTTATCATAATTACATAAAGCAAATGGAATGATTCTTTTTCTCGCCAAGAGCTATCTATAGCAGATCCCAAATCCTTCCTATTTATACCAATATGCTGGTCAAATGTTATTTTCCATGTGTGCCAGGACAGGAGAAAATTATAATTCTGTCCAACTGCCATGGTTCCTGATTGTCATTCACTGATACCTCAGTGACAACATAACAATTCTCTCTCCCTGTACCCAAGACCATGAAATGACAGCACCTTTGGTGGCTGGCCAGTTAATCATCAGGATTAGAATAAGAGCAGAGAACAGGCAAGTTAGAGAGGTTGAGGTATTGTAAGCTTAACTTGGTTAGATTTCCTAGAAAAGACACTGAAATATAACATGTTCATCCTGAGCAGCTAGATATTTCAGGATCCCCTTGATGATACTGTTTCTCCTTCAGAGATTATAAAGTCTGTTTTATTAGAGCAGGATTATGCATGTTCCTTAGGGATACTGAAACACTAGGCCCAATAGTTGGAAGTTATAGATGAAGGCAGATTTTTACTAGACTATCATCACAGATCAGAAATAAGTACAATACTATTTAAAAAGTTATTTTGAACACCAAATCCCGGCATATTTTAGTTGGTGCATTGACTTGGTAGAAAGTGCCAGGCTTTGACAAGAATGTAACAAGGTATATAATTTGTAGGGGACTGGGATTAAGGGTGTAAAAGAGGAAGGGTTAGTAAGAGACAAAATTAGAATGGAAGGCATTATATAAGAGATGAGGGAGTTCCGAGAAGAGAAAAATTGCATAGAATTAGAATGATTTTTTTCCTAAATCTGAGAAAAGTGGGATCATTCGAAGTGGCATGGAGGTCTTTTTGGAGTAAAAGCACTGTCTAAAGAAGAGTTGGCACATAGTTTGTAACTGTTGTGACCCACAGCAGTTTTGAGGTAACCAGAAACTGAGTTGTCTGTGGGGTTGTGAAGCCATTCACAGATCAGAGATCACTGTGAACTTTGGGTATTGCTGCCCATACCAACTCAACTTACGTACTCAGCCAGCAGCTCACTAGTCAGATAATACTGCATGCTGTCTTCCCCAAAGCATGCACACAGAAGGCTGGGTACACAACTTCCTTTCTTTAGTTACCTAACTATATTTAAGTATCAACTCTTTCACCTTTTAATTGTGTGACTACAAATAAGTTATTTTATTTGCTTGGTCTTATAAGAATGGAATAATTAGGAACTGTAAAATTTACCATGTTGATATGAGGATTAGATAGAAACTGTTAGTTAAGTACTTTGTGCAGAACATGGTACATGGAGCCAGTGCTTCCCATCACGATAACGTTAATAGCAAATGCAGCACAGAGCAATGTAACTGGGCCATTGTAGCAATCCTGAAATAGCTTTAGCGACTGAGAAGCACCATTAACTGTTTCGTTTGACTTAAAATTTCTATAAGCTTCATGAAATAATGAAATGTGACAAAGACCTAATCAAAATTAGTCCTGCCTGGCACAGTGTATTCTCTTGAATAAGTGGGTTGCTTTAATGATACTAATTAACATTGGAGAGATTCTAAACCATTACCAAAATAAAGGTACCCCCCTTGTAAGAACAAAATGCAGCAAAACAATGTCCTGGTTTCTACAAGAACCTGGCACTTGACACACAAAGCTGGCAGAATGAGCAGCTGGTGCCAGGCAGAGTTCAGATTGCACAAACTCACTCAGCAGAGTGTCTCAGGCACCTGTGCCACAGAATTTTCTCTAACAAACAGAAAGGCTTAGTTCCTTTGTAGCATTTTGTTGTAGTTGGTTTTGGTTTTGAGACAGGATGTCACTATGTAGCCAGACTGGCCTTAAACTCATGATCCCCCTTCTTCAGCCTCTGGAGCACTACAATTATGTCATATGTCACCACATCTGACTATAGAGTTCTTTTACAATATCTTAGAAGATGTATAGAATCCCAAGGGCCCACTTCTACTTTCTCTCTTGGCATCTATTTTTGTGATCACCAGACATAACCTTATCAGACCAAGTACCAGGTGAATGAAGTCCATGCTTTGAATTTTTTTTTTTTTTTTTGTGGTACTGGGGCTTGAACATAGGGCCTTCACCTCGAGTCACTCCACAGCCCTATTTTTGTGAAGGGTTTTTCGAGAAAGGTTCTTGAGAACTTTTTGCCCTGAGCTGGCTTCAAACTTCGATCCTTCTGATCTCTGCTTCCTGAGTAGCTAGGATTACAAGTGTGAGTCACTGGCACCTAGCTGAAATTTTATAATTAGCACTGATCTTAATTTATAACCAGGTAAGGCTTGGGAATGGGAAAACCTCTCCCTGTAAGTTAA